GGCACCCTCTAAACCTGCTTATGCCTCCAAGATGGTGACAACTTCTTCGGATAGAGAAATAGGATACTGTTTTCCTATTTGGAGGTCTTAGATTCCTTTTTTTTTTTTTTCTTTGAGACAGTCTCACTGTTGTTTCCCTGGGTAGAGTGCCATAGCATCACAGCTCACAGCAACCTCCAGGTCTTGAGCTTAGATAATTATCTTTCCTCAGTCTCCTGAGTAGCTGGGACTACAGGCAACGGCCACAACGCCCAGCTATTTTTTTGTTGCAGTTTGGCTGGGGCTGGGTTCAAACCTGCCACCCTTGGTATATGGGGCTGGTGCCCTACTCACTGAGCCACAAGTGCCGCCCCTTAGATTCCCTTTTTCCAGTTCGAGAGACCTATGGATATTTACAGAGATATTTACAGAAAGTGGCTGCTCAAAACTTCTGGTGTTGCAGGGAGAGGGTGAAGATGGTGGCAGGTATGGGGCCTGTGGCAGATGGGAGTGGGAGGATGGAATTCCCTAGGGCTTATAAATGGGGGGTGATGGAGGAGAGAGGGCTCTGGCATCAACAATCGTTTTTATTTATGTATTTTTGAGACAGTCTCACTCTGTCACCCTGGGTAGAGTACTATGGCATCATCATCGCTCATAGCAACCTCAAACTCCTGGGCTCAAGTGATCCTCTTGTCTCTGCCTCCTAAGTAGCTGGGACTATAGGTGCCTGCCACCACATCTGTCTAGTTTTTTCTTTTTTTTCTTTTTAATGTTTTTTGCACAGAGTCTCACTTTATCACCCTTGGTACAGTGCCATGATGTCACAGCTCACAGCAACGTCCAACTCCTGGGCTTAGGCGATTCTCTTGCCTCAGCCTCCCAAATAGCTGGGACTACAGGCGCCTGCCATAATGCTTTGCTATTTTTTTGTTGCAGTGAGGCTGGGGCTGGGTATACCCTCCGTATATGTGGCCGGCGCCCTACCCACTGAGCCATAGAAGCTGCCCGTAGCTAGTTTGTTCTTTCTTTTCTTTCTTTCTTCCTTTCCTTCCTTCCTTCCCTCCCTTACTCCCTCCCTCCCTTCCTTCCTTCCTTTCTCTCTCTCTTTCTTTCCTTCTTTTCTTTCTTTCGTTCCTTCCTTTTTTTCTCTCTTTTTTTTTTCTTTGAGACAGAGTCTTACTATGTCACCCTCAGTAGAGTACTGTGGTGTCACAGCTCACAGCAACCTCAAACTCTTGGCATCAAGTGTTTCTCTTGTCTCAGCCTTCCAAGTAGTTGGGACTACAGGTACCCGCCACAATGCCTGGCTAATTTGTTGTTGTTGTTGTAGTTTTTATTGTTGTTTTGGCAGGCCCAGGCTAGGTTCAAACCCGCCAGCTCCGGTGTATGTGGCTGGCACCCTAGCTGCTTGAGCTATAGGCGCCAATCCTCTCTTTCACTTTTTAGGACAGAGTCTCACTCTGTCACCTTGGGTAGAGAGTACTGTGGCTTCATAGCTCACAGCAACTTCAAACTCTTGGGCTCAAGTGATCTTCTTGCCTCAGTCCCCTGAGTAGCTGGGACTACAGGTGCCTGCCACAACTATCAGGATAGTTTTTTTATTTTTAGTAGAGATCAGGGTGTCACTTTTGCTCATGCTGGTCTTGAACTGAGCTCAGTCAATGCATCTGCCTTGGTCTCCCAGAGTGCTAGGATTATAGGTGTGAGCCAGCACATCTGGACCATCAATAACCTTTTTTTTTTTTTTTTGAGACGTAGTCTCATTTTCTTGCCCTCAGTAGAGTGCCCTGGCATCATAGCTCATTGCAACCTCAAACTCCTGAGCTCAAGCAATTCTCTTGCCTCAGCCTCTCAAGTAGCTAGGACTACAGGCGCCCGCCACAACGCCTGGCTCACAGCAACCTTCAGCTCCTGTGTGTAGGCAATTCTCTTGCCTCAGCCTCCTAAGTAGCTGGGACTACAGGCACCCACCACAATGTCTGGCTATTTTTTTTTTGTTGTTGTTGTTGCAGTTTGGCTGGGGCCAGGTTTGAACCCGCTACCCTCCATATATGGGGCCGGTGCCCTACTCACTGAGCTACAGATGCCACCCACACCTGGCTATTTTTAGAGATGAGGTCTGGAGGTCTCATTCTGGCTCAGGCTGGTCTCGAACCTGTGAGCTCAGGTAATCAACCTGCTTTAGCCTCCCAGAGTGCTACGATTATAGGCATAAACCACCACACTGGCCTCTCAACAACAATCTTTAAAAAACAAAATTCAGGGAGGGTGACTGTTAAGAGCTAAGAACAGTGTCCATGTCCCTTTTGTTCCATGTTACAGAATGTGATAGATATAAAATACCCTATCAAACAGTCCCCCAGATTCTGCCTGGGGCCCTTCTGCTGCAGGAGGATTAGAGAGGCAGGGCCCTCTCTGTTCTTTAAGTGATTCCCCCTCCTCAATGACAGAAAGTGTAACTCCCCAAATAGAAGAGAAGTCACTGAGCTCTATCCACAGGTGTGCAGGAGCCCCATCCCCTCCTCACCCAGTGGACAGTCACTGACCTGAATGTGTGCGGAGGTGGCCAGTGAGTGCATCACGCCGGCGGCAGGCATAGTTGCAGAAGGGACATTTAAAGGGTTTTTCCCCAGAGTGCAGCTTGATGTGGCGCAGCAGGTTCCCCTTCTGGGTGAAGGAGGCACCACACTGGTTGCAGTGGAAGGGTCTTTCACCTGCAATGTGAAAGACAGATTCCGAAGACTAGCTATGAGGAACTTTGATGGCTGAATCTCATTCCTAACTCACCCTGTGCAAGGGAAGGTGTTCTGAACACACTGCTAAAGGGCAGGACTGTGCCACATGCACTAACTGTGTCTTGGTTTGATTAGATGTATGTGGTAGGGGTGGGATACCAGGCCTGGAAAACAAGGCCAAGAGGCTGTTACCAAAAACTGAACCCCACGGGGGCCACTCTGTCCTAGGAGCCCAAAGCCTCAGGAAGCTGAGAAGAGGAGGCTTCCGTTTTCTGTTGTTTTTGTTTTAATGATGAGATGGGAGGGCCCAAATAATACCTAGGAGTCCTACCCTTATTGGAGTATAGGATCCTTCCTTTTTTTTGTTTGTTTTTTTTTTCAGAAGAGTCTCACTCTGTCATCATAAGCTCATAGCAACCTCAAACTCCTGCTCAAGTGATCCTCTTGCCTTAGCCTTCCAAGTAGCTGGGACTAGAGTTGTGGCTAATTTTTCTATTTTTAGTAGAGATGAGGGTCTCACTCTTAGTCAGGCTGGCCTCCAACTCCTAAGCTAGAGCAATCCATCCACAGCTGCCTCCTAGAGTGCTATGTGAGCCACTATAACCGGCCTATAGGATCCTTCCTGAGGCTTTAATACTTTCCCTTCCCTCATATCCTGAAAAAAAAAATCAGCTTTTTAATTTAATTTATTTTTATATTTTTAAAATTTATAAATATCAACAGTTGAAGAAAGTGCCAGAAAGTATAGATGTTGAGGGAAATCCAACTTTCATCCTTCCCCAGCATTTTTCTGTCAGCTGGAAAATGTGCTAGGAGAGACCCTTCCCTTTCTGAGGCCACCCTGGCCCCAGCATGGCCTCCTCCAGCCCTCTTCCTACACTGCCAGTACTGCCTCTGCCTCTCAACCCCACCCGGGAGCTCTTCCCTGAGTCCCTCTGGCTTACTCACCAGTGTGGCTGCGCTTGTGTACCATGAGCACGTTGGGTCCAATACAGACCATGCCACAGACATCACACTTGAGCTTGCCATTGGGCAGCCGGATGCCACCAGGTGAGTGAGGCTCTGGCCCACTCCCATCACAGTAACCCAGGGGCTCGGACAATGAGTCTTCCACAATCACACTGTCGTCCTTTTCCAAGAGCCGCTCATCTGGCCCCAGCAGTCGGCTTGACTCTTCATCACTGTACATCTCCACCTTGATGGAATTGGCTGGAGGGCAGGATGATGTTTAGATCAGAGACAGGCAAAAGGGAACCTGCCCTCAGGCAGGAAGGGAACTTCTGAAATCCAAAAGGGTGCCTTCAGGCCCTGAGACAATCAGGTCTTAAAAGGGGCCAACACCCTAGAATCCTAGGTCATGATATCAGAGTCCTGCTAGGACCTGAAATAACCTTTTCTTTTTCACCCACCCACCAAGCACATAGTCTGGAAAGAGAAAAAGTCGGGGTACATAGGATGTCTTTTGTCATTGAAGAGAGGAGGTGACTAAGGGGAGCCTTTTTTTCCATTCTCTTGTCATTAAGAAAGATGTCTGGCTTGGCTCTGGGCAGGAAGCCAGCAAGTAACAGTGGCGGGAAAATAGTTCGAGGAAGACTGAAGGGGGACAGCAAGCTAATGAGAGCAAAACTGGAAGACACATGGCTTACATTCTCTTCTTACCCCATTAGACTGAACCCCGCTACCTCTCCATAAAAATCTGAGGCTGAGCAGGGGGGATAAAGGAAGGAGGAGCCATTGAGGAGAAGGCTTTGGCTCTAGCTCTGACCTACATTCCTGGCTATTCCAACCATTTAGAGAATGTCACAGATCTAGGGCCAGCTGAGGAGGGGCAGTCATGGGGACCCTGTCTGGGTAGAATAGGGTGTGGGGAGATGGGGAGGCCCTTCTCCTTTCTCTTTCCTATCTAACTCCATCTAATGATCATTACTATCTACCTGCTTCTCCATTTCCAGAATTTCTCTTTGGAACCTTCCCCGTAATCCCACCAATGCCTTTTTAATTCCACTCTAGTCTGGCAGTGACTCTTCACTTTGCTTTTGGAAACCAGGAAAACCCTAGACACTAGACACTAGGTTCCTTAGAGAGACTCATAGAGACACTGAGCAGGAGACCAGAGGGAGGCAACAATGAGGAAATGGTTGCTAGTTGAAGGCAAAGTGAGGGCCAAATGCACAGGGGGTGCCTACTGCCAGGAGCGGGTAGGAGGTTGGACTTACCACTGAGTGAGCGGCTGGGAGAAGAGTGCTGGCTGTTGGGAGTGCTCACTGAGGGCCCCACTGGGGCCCCAAGGAACTCCTTCTCCAGAGATGAGTCCCCGCTACCTTGGAGGAGAGAACAAGAGGGCAAGTAAAGCTGGAGCTGGAGTCATCTACTGTCCATTGCCTAATCTTATAAAAAATTCAGTTAAATTTCACAAATGTTTATTTCATAGCTATGTCCAAGGAAGTATTTTATGCTGGGCAGCATACCTTATGCCTTCCCAGCACTCCAGGTGCCTCGTGCTGATGGCTGGGAGTTCAGTGTCTGGGCCTTGCCTACCCTACGTTTATCTAGGCCCGGGGGGAAGAGCATCACTGCCTCACATCCACGTCCACAGGAAGCAGGGCTGGGGCTGGGCGGGCCAGGGCAGAAAGGAAAATGGGGGCCTCAGGAGGAACAAATGTTAAAGACAGACCCTCTTCCCTATTGTTCCTCTCTGGAGCCTCCAACACTGGATTCGGGATTTGTAGGAAGGGCAGCTAGAATTGTCCCTGACTCTAATGATAATATTAGTAATAATGACAGAAGCTACTATTAATTGAGTGCTTACTGTGTGCCTGGCATTATTCTATGAACTAAAAATGAATTATTTAATCTTCACAATAACCCTATGAAGTGAGTGCTAATATTATCCTGATTTTTCAGATGAGGAAATTGAGACACAAAAAGAGGTTATGTTACTTGCCTAATGTGATGTAGCTGGTACTGGAGGAACTCAGATCTGATCACAGACAGCAAGTGCCCATGTCCTTAATCACTATCTACATAGCCAGTTGGAAGTTACTGTCTCAGTTGGAGAGAGTTGGCCCATTGGACTTTCTAAATTTAAATTCAG